ATAATGCATATTAAAGGTCCTAAGTGCAGCGCTGCTTTGTTTACAGCGGAAACCAAATAAAAGCTTTAAGCGCCACCTGCTGGCAGAGAGTGAATCTGCGGCTCATTCAGCTCGTCTGCCGTTTCATGCAGATATTTTTATGTATAGTTTCACAAAACTGAAGTCAGAACATTCTGTTTTTGCTTCAGATTTCGAAATTATACAATCTAATTTAGATTAAAAATGGCTCATGTTGCATGTATGCAGCATCTTTGGATCAGGATTAAAATGCAGTGGTTGCCTCTAATTTTAAATGGAAAGAACACAGACAAAGCCTTATTTTGTTTATATGAAGAGATTTATTTTATTTGTGTTACTTATTTATTTGATTTGGGGCTTGTTTTAAAATTTCAATGTAGTTTTGTTAGTTACATTTACATTATATTTAAATTGTTATTTAGCAGACGGTTTTATCCAACGTGACTTACAAATGAGGACAATAGAAGCAATCAAAACCAACAAAAGAGCAGTAATATGCAACTGCTATATTAGTATGTTATTATAGTATTATATTTCAATTTCACAAAGAAATGTGCAGCATTTTGTCCAAGCAATAATAAAAGGACACATTTAATTTATAATTTGTCTTAAATCTCATTTTGTTAAAAAAAATTAAATAAATCGTGAATTGAATCGAATCGTGAAATCAAAATCATGGATCGAATCGAATCGTGAGTTGAGTGAATCATTACATCCCTAATGTGTACAGTATGTACATTGAGCACTGCTGTTCAGTTGGCTCGTTTGTGGCCAAATTTCTTTTTATTTTTGATACATTTGTATTTTTTTAAATGTACAAATTTACATTTGGATGAATTTGTCTGTCTTTAATCAGATTTACCAATTGTTATAACATTTCTAGTAGTTTTCTTAGTTTCAGGTAGCCAAAGCGAAGTTAAAGCTTTTGGTTGCAAAGCAGTTGGAGAGTTTTTGACTGTATCAATAATAATTTCTTTTGGCTATATTCCCCAACATCAGCTCTCACTATCTTTGATCACAGGCAAGCAATTTCGTCCAGGAATCGTAAAATCAAAATGCTAAAAAAAAATGAAGGGTTTACAGCATTCATCAGATCTTGCTGTTCCAACTCTTCCAACTCACTCCGTGTGTGTGCGCATCCATGTTGCCTAGTAACGAACGTGCTTGCAGCACAGCGGGATCATGTAATTTACGAAGAAACAACAACATTCTCATTTCTGATTGGCAGGTAGGTGGCATTTAACTCGAGGCATTTAACTCGAGAAATTGTCCATTAATTGTATATAGCGGGGCATGTTATCCCTTACTTCTCAGTGTGAGAAATACAAGGTGTGGCATGTGAGTGTGTGAACTGGTTGAAATGCGTGTATCTCACGGTGAATGCTTGATAACCCACTCATACAAGCGCTTGCCAACACTGCTGTCTAATGACGTCGCAGTCTCCGGTAGATTGTTGTTGTTGTGTCTATTCCTTTTCTTTTTTGGCTGAGAAACAACGGCCTGGGCCAGTGTTGCCACCTTGTGGACAAACTAATTAGTGCAAAAACAATTCAAGGCGTATGTGTGACCTGTGTGAACTCTTCCCTCGGGCCACATGAAGATGATTGGCGGGCCGGATTGGGCCCAGGGGCCGCCAATTGAATAGCCCTGCTTTATACCCTTATAATAATGTTAAAAATACAGCAATAACTGCCAACTGGATGGCTGCGCTGACTGGCCAGATTATATCATGTGTCTTTCATGTGTGGTGAAGTATTTGAAAAACAATTTAACGTGAGCTTACAGTAGGGCTGTGCAATGAATCAGTCAAAAAGATTCACAAAACAGTCCTCGAATTTGCTTATGAGTTAGCGGTTTGAATCAGACTCATTGTGAATCGTTCAGAGCCCTTACTGAGTTTACAGCTGACTCCTTCACTGAACTGAGAGTCATTTTTACATTCAAAATGAACTGGAAATCGTTATAATGATGAACATTTTGAGATTTACATCAGTTTATTTACCGATTGGTTCTAATCTAATTAAAGATACATATTCACACATGCTGTTATCGTTAATAAAACAGAAACTAACAATTATTTTTTTTAAATTGAAATAAAGTTAAAATAAAATATAAATACTAGAAGCAGTGAATGAAGTATAAATATTAGGGCTGTGCAATGAATCAAATTTTAGTTTCAGTTTAGATTTTGGCTTCCAACAATTATGAAAATGTGCTAATCAAGCTAAACGATCATTGTGCCGCATGTAGTTCCTTTACTTTATAGCGTTGCGCTTTCACCACTCCTTAAAAGCCTAAACTTAATGTCAGAATCAGTCAAACCATGTAAAGTGACTGTCGTAAAATGCAGTCTACATGTGGGTCATGACTGTTCCCCAGGAGCTTCCTGTGCAGAAACTTAAAGACCTAAATGGTCAAAAGTACACAACAATATATGTGTGAAGCATTAACTACAGGAAGTGTTTCACTGAATTTAATTATACTAAATAGAATATTTAAATTATATATAATTGAATAGAATATCTAATTAAACTGAATAGAATTATAAAATTGTTTTCATTAACTGAAATAAAACTGAAACAAAATAAGTATTAGATGAAAAACTTAATGAAAATGAGAAATATAGCCTTAGCAACCAATTGAAATGAATTAGTTTAAGCTGAAGTGCTAAAATGACTAAAACAAATCTGAAATAAAAACAAATTAAAGCTAAAAACAAATTAAAATGAAAACTAAAAATATAAAAATAAATGCTAATTCAAAATAAAACAATAAAAAAATATACAAATAATAATAAAATAACACTGAGGGGTTTTGGTTGAAGATCTGATGGTATTCAGTGTAAAGATTTGAAAAAATTCAGAAACTCAGACAGGGGCCAACCACTTTTTCACAGCATGGGTCCCAGTATTTAATCCAGCATGTCAGCTGAGGTCTAAACTAATAAGTTTGTAGCACTGCATCTGCTTTCCCTCCAAAAACCACTTACAAAATGTGAAAATCAGAGAACAGCCATTTAATATTGGGCAGCACTATCATCAAATGTGTCTTTTACATCGGCAAGCTGTGATAGCTCTGCAGACACATAGTTAGATTAGAGGCTTTTTACGACTGAAAATTGGATGTAATCAAATCTTCCCTTTCACAGCAGTGAAAAGCACTTCAAGATAAAGTGAAAAAAGAGTGGTGCCTCCACTTACGCTGATAGCGTAGAACAAATGATTTAAGAAATGAGAGGAAAAGCAGTTTAACATAGATCAAAAAGATGAAAATGGGCAGTTTTGGGTGAATGGTTCATCTAAAAACAAATAAACCTGAAAGAGCACTCACCTCGCAGCTCTGCCACCTGTTAGGGATGTTGGCACGAAGCTTTTGGTCACACACTACCCGCTTCATGTCTTCTATTGACGGATCAGACGGTACAAGGTCATAGTAGGGGAGCTGGTAGTCCTCATGGATGCCTGAATGGAAAATTTAGCCCACAAGAACATATTCATTTATGCTGTTACAATAAAAGATTAGAATTTCTAAGAATATTGTACACACTGAATAACACAAATGTGAGCTCCAAAAGCCTGAAATATGGGATTAGTTATAATACATTGTAAAATATTATACATTAATTATATAAATTTTATAATAATCAGATAATATAATTTGCAATGTTTTAATGCAATTGTTTGAAAATTGAAACTTCAGGCCCCACCATGAATCACTAAACTAGTTGCACTAGGGATGCACCGATATTAACATTTTGGCCGATACCGATAATTCTTTATATGTGAAAGCCGATAACCAATATGTTAAATCCAAATCCAAATTTTTATATAACTTTTGAGATTACAAAAAAGTCCCACCATTAAAAGCCATGTCCCAAACACTTCGACATAAATCAGAAATATACAGTACAGCAGCCTAGTCTAAACTGCAGTGTAAGTTTTAAAAATAAATTTTACACTCCTATTACCAACTTTCTTTATCAAAAAAAAAAAAAATTTGCCTTACAAATGAATAAAACAATGCTTAATGCAAACAAGTCACTGGACAATGTTACTTACGTGTAAACAATCAAAATGCACGTGCCATGGATAAATAAAACGGAATAGCTTCAGCACGGACAATAATGAAATTATTTTAATTAAACCATATTGTTGATGAATATAAGATAAAAAAGTGCTGTTATTATCAATAATGCAACTAATGTTTTTGAAAAAAAAAAAAAGTTTAAAGCTTAAATTAATACCAATGTTTCAAATAGCAGCATTGCTGTTTGAGCTGCATGCGCTGTAGCTGAAGAGCTGAATGAACACCAGTAAACTGAAGCGCTTTGTTAGCGGGTTAATTAGACTAAACTGTGGTAGCTATGAAGGTGTAGCTCCATTGTGAATGCGCTCTCCCCGTAACAACGCACTTAAACAAGATTATTTTACAGTGCATGTTCTCATTATTATTTTATGTAGCCTATATGACTGACTTGCCCTGCACATGTTGCACTTAACTGTAATTTCCTTTTCAAAATGATTCCAATCATATTTCAAGCAATTCAAAACCATCATGGTGAACAGTGCGCATCTGCAGTGTCTCTGAAGGAAATAGTGCATTATTTATCGGCTTTAATATATTGGCCAAATTTTCTTATCGGGTCGATAGCGATAACAGTAAAAATGAACATTTATCAGCCAATACTGATATGGTGGCCGATATATCGTGCATCCCTAAGTTGCACTGTTGCAATATACATAGATATAACAATGCACTCATATCAATGGCATCATTATGCAACTCAACAAGCAGGAAGACAAACAAATAAGACACTGAAGGACATAAATCAGTCATTGTCATCACAATTTTTATCACAGTACCTCCAATAGAACACCTGCGAGCAATTTCCCAGAACACCAGACCCAAGGCATAGATGTCTGCCCTTTTAAAAGACTCAAAGTGCCTCATGTTAATAGAGTCATCCAGCACCTCAGGGGCCATATACCTGTGAACATGACAGATGACATTAGAAATCACTTATTTACACCACTTTTACACGGTTGCTCATTTTGACAAACTTTACAAAACAACCCACAGGAATGAACTACACATTTTCTGTGAAGAGCATAACTTTCGGTAAAATGTAACAATTTTCAGTATTCCAGTAAACTGAAGCGCTTTGTTAGCGGGTTAATTAGACTATATGAGAATCAGATATTTATACAACATGAACATAATATTACAACTTATATATGTACAAAAATATGCAAATACAAAAGTGATCTTGAACTAGGTTACGTGCTAGTCAGAGTGTGTAACTCCTGTTGTGGATGCGCTTTTGGCTCTTCCCGTAACAACACGCTAAAACATGGCAAATAAATCCAAATTTTATTATGGTAATGTTCTCTTTATAATGTTATGTATACAACATTAACAATTATAGTTATTAAATGTTGTGCACTAATATATGCACAGCCTTTTATTATAATAGTGTTCTCATTATAATGTTATATATATATATGGCAGTCTCAATCATAGTTATTAATGTTGTGCGCTGCTGTTTGAGCTGCATGCGCTGAGCTAAAGATGATCACCGGCAAACTGAAGTGCTCTATTAATGCTCTATTAACTTAAACGCATTCTATATGAGTATTTACACCCCTTACACATCAAAACATCCATTTCAACCCCTTTGGTTAAAGGTTGCTTGTTTTGACAAGCTTTACAGAGCACCCCAGAGGAATGAACTATACATTTTCTTTAAGGAGCGTGATTTTCAGTAAAGTGTGCTCAAAAAATGTTCAACAATTTTCAGAATTACTCTTGCATGGGCTGGAATGAAGCATGACACTGCCAAGCATTTTTATCTGTTGTTTATCTTCAAGAAATTATGTGATTAGACAGGATTAAAAACGGTGGAAACAGGGAAACCTAATCAAGGAAATCAGGTATTAGTCAAATGAATAGAGACACATCTCATTACAAAGTGATTATAAGAGATAATATTAGTGTTAGCAGAAATGTTCCTAACTGACCCTAATATGTAAATGAATTAACGTTATTAACAGTAATTTACCTCTGAGCAAATATAAATTTAAATCATATAAATACATTTAATTTATTGCATTATTTGAATTTATTTATGAATTTCCTTATATATGTGACCCTGGACCACAAAACCAGTCTTAAGTCGTTGGGTTATATTTGTAGCAATAGCCAAAAAAACATTGTATGGGTCAAAATTATCGATTTTTCTAATGCCCAAAATCATTAGGATATTAAGTAAAGATCATGTTCCATGAAGATTTTTTGTAAATTTCCTACCGTAAATATATCAAAACTTAATTTTTGATTAGTAATATGCATTGCTAAGAACTTCATTTAGACAACTTTAAAGGCGATTTTCTCAGTATTTAGATTTTTTTTTTGCACCCTCAGATTCCAGATTTTCAAATAGTTATATCTCGGCCAAATATTGTCCTATCATAACAAACCATACATCAATGGAAATCTTATTTATTCAGCTTTGAGATGGTGTATAAATCTCAATTTAAAAAAATTGACCCTTATGACTGGTTTTGTGGTCCAGGGTCACATATGTAATTTTTCTGCAAAAAAACCCCCAAAAAACAAATAAATAAAAAATACATAAACCTGATGAGGAAAAGCAATTTTAGCTAATCAAAATCCATAATTCTGAGAACAAACAAACAGATCAAATCCATATTCAACCGTCCTGCCATTGTAATGCAATAAATCTCATCACAAAATGGGATGGACCGGCTGTACGGAGCACCGGACTTTAGCATTCGTCAGGTTATATAAGAAAAGGTGTTTTGAAAGGGAATAAAAAGTTCAGATTTGTGGCAGTACCATTTATAATATGTAAATGTTTTAAATAATCTCCAATAATAATTAATTTGCGACCTACAGTGCATACTGTAGCATTAGCTACAGTATGCACTGTAGGCTTAGCATTTAATAGGACAGCAACTGATTTCAGTAATACAAAAAAATAAAAAAATAAAAAAAATAAAATCAACACAAATACACAAAAAAGCTGCAAATATCAACGAAATGTCTGAGAAAAAAAATGAAGCAAATTCAGCAAGTTTGGGCCACAAAAAATCTGATAAAAAGTCACACAAAATCCTGGTGGGACTAATATATGTTCATTTGAGAACAAAGGGTGACACTTTCATTTAAAGATATAAAAAATACCCAGATTCACTATTTTAAGGCTTAACATTTTACTGTACTTCTGGATAATTTATGCAAAATGGGATTTAAAACAGGACCTCCATAGACTTGCATTAGAAAAGAAAAAAGCTTGTCTGATGACAATATGGCAGATAGCAACAGTTGCTAAGGTAGGATTACACTGTCATGTGTTTAAGGCGGAGCTTTAAAGGTTCAGCTGATGAGGGTGTCTTGTGGGTTGCATAGCAGCCTAGAACATGGTTTTCCCTTGAAAACCAAGAAGACTGGAGTGAGACATCATCACTCAAGTGAGCCCTAGGGGGACAGAAGGCTGTGAGGGAGAACTTTGACATTCAAAAGTCACATTCAGTAACCATCACAGCAGGAGATGGTAGCGGGTGTTATATACTGCAATATATGAGTGTCGGTGTGTGACAGCCTGTCACACCTAGCAGTAGTCTGGGGAAGTGTGCGTGTGTGCTTAGTGTCCAGGGGGCACAGAAGAGAATGGGCGCACCGCTGAGAGCCTCTCGCTCTAGATTCGATGTGACACACTCCTGTGGTGACAACAGGGGGAGTGGCGTCCCTAGCACTGTCCTTCACAGCACACATCTCACCCTCTGAGTCAACTCAAGAAAAAAAAAACCTGTTGTGGGATCCCGAGAAGCGAGGTTCCACTCGCAACAGAGTTGGTCCAAAAAAAAAAAGAAAATCCTCAACCAATCATGGGTCAATGACAAATGTGACCCTGGACCACAAAACCAGTCTTAAGTCGCTGGGGTATATTGTAGCAATAGCCAAAAATGCATTGTATGGGTCAAAATTATTGATTTTTCTTTTATGCCAAAAATCATTAGGATAAAGAGCAACAATAATGTACATTATGTGGAAAAGAATGTGTTTTTTGAACCTTAAACCGCATAAACACATTTCATTACACCAAATACACAAAATAATGTTCTTTTTAGCAACATCATATGACCCCTTTAAAGAAAAGAAAAAATATCTTTAAAACAATGTAGTTACAAAAATGTTATACTCTTTGTATTCATATTGGTTTCAAAGTTTTACATCATTTTCAAGAAATGTTTAAATTTAATGACTCTGGAAATATTTTTTTTTGGTACACTTTAAATATAAGTAAGTATAAAAAAAGCTTTTAAATACATTTAAAGAAGTTTATACATTGTTTAACAAATGTCATAAATTGCTAATTCATAAATATCATTGCTGCACAACCTGAACTAACCTTGCCCTGTCATAATAAAGGTCAAATTATCTAATATTTTAAGAGACTTATTGATCTTGACAAACATTCATGGGCAGGATGTCAATGATATAATTTCCTATTTTATCTATTTCCTGTAGTTTTTTCCTAAATAGGCTAAAAAAACAAACAAACAAAAAAACAGCTTCAGTTTGACAGTGTGTGGTCAAAGGGTCAAAAAGAGCTTGTTATGTCACTTCCTCTTTTTTGTTATGTCTCTTATGAAAATAGGTGTGAGAGTGACGTTATGTCACTAAATGACAACAAACAGCTGCTAAGTGCTATCTTATGAAACTGCTCACATTTGCGTCTGACCCCCATAGCTTTTTCATGTCTCACACAAGCTTGAATTTTTGGGTGTTTCACAACACTAATATTTACGGGCACACAGATCCCTCAGCTCAAGAAAACACTCCAGTTATGAGCCGTATCGCTGTGCATTGGAATACAAATGTAGGAGAGCGCGTGTCTGCGACTGGAACTAGACATACGTCACTGTGAATGTGGCCGAGTGATGAATTACTGACCTTTTAGTGCCCACTCTGTGGTTGGGTGCAATATCAATGGTGTCTGTGGCTGAGTCATGCCGCACGGCCAATCCAAGGTCAGCGATGCAGCAGGTACCATTCTTCTTCACTAAGATGTTTTTGGATTTCAGATCACGATGGGCAATTGCAGGCTTACCTGAGGATTGGACATGACACAGTACAGTATGAAATACGACTTCAAATCAATTGTTGAAAGCTTACTCCTCTGATTAATGATGGAAAATGTCTAAAACCTTGTCCAAACCAGAAACAGGAGCAATCAATAAATCCTCTCTTCTCTTCTTAATTGAGTTTTTTTTTTTCAACAGCAAGACATTTATTTGGTTGCTTGATTCTGTTCCTGTCATGTCACATTGAATACAAAATCATCTACATAACTGTATATAAAACATCACAAATATGTTTTGTGGAAACTTGTATTGCACTGCTTAAAGCAGCATATTTCTATGAAAATGTGGGCATTTTCATGTAAATACGGCTATGTTTCAGGATGGATAAAAGAAAAGTGATTTGTGTATTGTGACTCACCCTGAGTGCCCACAATCTCCATATGCAGATGAGCCAGACCACTGGCGGTGGAGAGAGACAGCTTGATCATGCCCTCCACTGTGACCGTGTACCTGTTCAGGTAGTCAAAGAGCGAGCCGTGCTCATGGTAATCAGAAACCAACCACAGCTGTGTCCATGTGCCGTTATCTGAGATGCACAGAGAGAGACACCACTGAATGCTCTGCGCTTTGAGGGATAATAGAGTGTAAACATATTCTGAACCGTGGCTGTTAAACTTCTAAATATATCTACATCTAGCAACTTTAAAGCTTCATTTCTAGCAAAAATATTATGAGTGGCTCTATTGAGCTCAATACTGTTGACAATCTAAGACACACTAAAATAGTGTAACTGGAAATAGTGATATTGTTTATAATAAATGATGCCAATGACAAAATTAGCCAAGCAGGGCGGATGATGTCTCTTACGTGTATATGATTTAATTTAATTAAAGTGAATGACATAACTAAAACTGTTAAAAACAGGGGTTAAAGCAAAAAAATAAATATCTTTTGACTGAAAATTTTTCCTCGGCCAAACCCCATTCCACAGCCATACCCGTCACACCCCCAGTTTAAGAGCAGTGTTTTTCTTCTTGTAATTAGGAGCGCTTGTCCTCCTGATTAAAAAAATGTAGGAGCAACTTCTAATCAATAATAAAAAAATTCTGATCAAAAATTAGCCTTTCTAATACGAGGTGACATTTGACTCAAACAGATTTACAGGGGCATTTTCTTTTTACCTTTGTAAATGCATTTTTCTAATTGTATTAAAATGTATGCGGTGCTTCCTCTAGGATTTTTTTCCAGCTGTGGTGGCAGGACTATTCCCCATGGACCATGCCCCCTTCCCACCCAAGAATCATGTGCACTCAGAATTGAATTTATTTTAACTATCCTGCTCTGTGTTCTCTGCTAATAACCCAATTTCTGTGAATGATGCGAGCGGCGTTATGTTGTCAGTGAGAAGCTGCAGCCGTGGTGGGGATGATTTGTGGTGTGCGCTTACTTTTCTTTTTAGGAGCGCTTGTCCTCCTCATTAAAAACATTTAGGAGCACCTTCTGATCAATAATCAAATTCTGATCAAAAATTAGCCTTCCTAATACGAGGTGACATTTGACTCCTTAAAGTGACTTACAGGTGTATTTTCTTTTTACTTTTTGTAATGGCATCATTTTCAACTGTCAAATTCAAAAATGTATGTTTATAAGCTTTTTAAAATTTCTATTTAAAACAATATAATAAGAAGTAGAATAAGACAAATAAGTTGCCAATCATATGACATTAGTATTAATAAAAAATATTAAGAAATTAAATGATTTAAATAACCAAAATTATATCCTAAAAATGAAACTAAATCCGCCAGCAGTTGGCGGCAAGTCACTGATTTTATCACTGAATCATTCATTCAATTGATTCGTTCGAATGGCTGATTCATTCAGGAATTAAGCAAGTGAGTGTCTTTATGTATGGGTAATCATGAATCACTGAGTCACTCGATTCGTTCAAAAACGCACTTTTAATCATGAATGAAACACCGCTGTGTTTGCTTTTAGAGATGCGCAGCGGCTGAGCTGTTACTTTATTTGGAACTATTTTCGTTGATGAAATAGAGCAAAATCAGGCAGTACTTTTTTATTGAACTGTTGTATTAAATCAATATTTCATTTGCAAACTCCCTTAATTATTAAAAGCTGTCACTCCCCTTATCGCGATCTGTGGGCGTACAGAAAATGAAAGCACGCGAGTGAGTTCTCAAGACTCAAAAGCACATGCAAATGATAAGTTCCGTCATCTGTCATCGCGTTATAAGCACGGAACCTGCGGGAATGAGTAGAATTATTATTAATAGCCGCAATCCCACGCCGAAATTCAAGTCCTGTCCTGCTCTGTGTTCTCTGCTAATAACCCAATTTCTGTGAATGATGCGAGCGGCGTTATGTTGTCAGTGAGAAGCTGCAGCCGTGGTGGGGATGATTTGTGGTGTGCCAGCAGAACAACAACAACAACGCACTACATGTTTCTTTTCCCTTCATTTTTTCCAATTGACGGAAATCCGTCGTAGCGACGGAAAACTTTAATGCTGTAAACTGTAAAAATAATTAAACCTTTTTTTTTAACAGAATATTTACTAAAAACAGCCAAAAGCAATTGAAAACAGTGCTTATTATCTATTGACAAAACTATCAGAAGGTTTGTGATTGGACACAACTACCACTGATAAAAAGACAGTTCACCCAAAAAGGTAATCTTTCATCATTTGCTCACCCTCATGTCCTTCCAATCCTGTATGAATTTCTTTCTTCTGTTGAACACAAAAGAAGCTATTTTAAAGAATGTTGGGAACCAAACAGCTGACGCTAGCCACTGACTACCATTGTATTTTTTTTCCATACTATGCAAGTCAATGGGTACCGTCAACCGTTTGGTTCCCAAACTGTTTTTTCTTTTGTTCTAAACTCATACAGGTTTGGAACAACTTGAGGGTGATAAATGTTGACAAAATTTTCCTTTTTGGGTGAACTATCCCTTTAATTGGTTAAGCAGGTAGTCTATCACTAATGTACAGGGTTCCTAGTCCATTTGACCGATACATTTCAGTGACTTTTTCTAATAACTGGTAAGGGATTTTAACAAATACTTTTATTAAGATCACTGGGGTGAATTCTCACATAACAAATCCTTGTGGTTTATATTTTTAAACAGTGTGCGAAAGTTTTCAAAAAGAAGAAAAAAAAATTGAATGTGGCTTAATAGATGATTTGGCTTTCAATTATCACAATGAATAATACAGGCTGCCTTCAACTGAAAGACTGATGTTACTGCACTGGCTTGTGAAGTTCTACTCTACACAAGAATTCACAAAAAGCAAAATCTAATCAAGTAAATATTTTAGAGCAGTGCAGAAATCAAATATTTCTTAAAAATTACCTAGAAAACTTACTTAAATAAAGATATTAATAATAATTGAAAACTTTGCTTACAAAACTTTTTACAGATAATTGTACAGAAATTTTTCCATGATTATTTCCACAACTTTTCCAGGCCTGGAAATCACAACATTTTAAAATTCCCCGATATCCCTTTAGAACCCTGACTGTAAAATACTGAATATACAGTAGAATTGACTGATGACATCACAAACAGAAATGTGAAACACTACCCACATAAACACACGTACGCTGGAAAGCAAATGAAGTTCGATCAAACTTAATGGCACTGAACTGCTTTCATTGTTGTCTGACCTTTGTTGTCTGCAGCAATAAAGCCCAGGATGTTCTCATGACGAAGCATGACAGTCTGGTAGATCTCTGCCTCACGGAACCAAGAACGCTCCTCTCTGGAGGAGAAGATCTTTACTGCCACCTCCTCGCCACGCCAGCGGCCCCTCCACACCTCTCCAAAACGACCCTTCCCTATGCTCTCCTGGAGGATGATAGTCCTGGCAATAGTCCTCTGCACTAGCAGTGGCAAGCCTATAGAAGACAAGAAAAGCAGTCAGGGAAACTCCATTTCAGGCTTACAAATCATACTTCATATGTTGCTTGGAAATTCAATTTTGTCAGAATACACAGCAATGTCTACTGTCTATATAGAAAGATGCTCTCTGGCCTCATAATGGTGTAATTACGGCATCTGCCAGCAGGGGAGCCATGCAAACACAGCCATGAAAACCAGCCAAACATTGAACCCTCGACGTATGTATACTATGCACAATGTTTGATTTGAGATCATGACAGTCATCCAGGAGCTAAAAAACAAATATTTAATCTGAGGCACTGCCAAATATACAGTGTTTCTTGGCTTGGACAAAACGCAATGACAGCTTCTGGACTAAAGATATAGCCTGCAGTGATTCCAGCTTTGCTTGAGGCTCATAACACAAGGAAAGCATTAAACTGTCAAGTTTACACATACTCAGTTGCTCCCAAGGGGCTCTGAAAACAAAGGGAATGAAATTGGCTTGAGCGTACTTTGGGGTTTATGATGGGTATTACAAGAAAAACAACCAGCAAATACATAAAAATGAAAGGGAATTAGATGATTTGATGAGAATCTTTGCATAATAAGAGGCATAAAAAATGGTTCAACTTGATTCTTTGAAAGCAGAAAAGGGAAACAATAAGCTAATAGTAAGTAGTATGATCTGTTAAATACCTGAGCCAGATCCAGAAGTGGTCATGTCATAGATAAGGTCCTTCAGCTTGGTGCCGTCAGCAAGGAACGGGTGGTCCATAGTGGGGTCTTCCTCACTTGGCACACGTTGGTGGATTATAGAGCGATTATGGCACATGTAGAAGATCAGCACCAGCACGAAGCTCAGCACGCAGATGGGGACAGCAATCACTGCGGCCAAAGCTACGGGACTCAGTGTCTGGAGTTCAGTGTCAGGCAACTCTGAAACAGCAAGAAGCAAAGCACATGCTTTAGGCTGTAAACCAGTGGTTCCCAATCAGGGGGTTGGGGCCCACTAGGGGGCCTCAGAAAACTTAGGTTTAATGTTAAATTTGTTTAAATATAGTTATATTGATTAAAATTCAGAAAAAAACAACTAAAAAGAATAAGAAATAAGATGTGCAACATTAAACTGACATCATATTTTAGTTTTTAAGAAAACAGAAGTATCAGATGTACATCAAGATAGAAGGGCCTTCAAATATTGTATGAGACAAAGGGGGGCTTTAGAGTCAAAAATGTAGAGATCCACTGCTGTAAACACACTCATACAACAAAAGAACTAACTTGTAATAAAAGATAGTACTCACACTAGAGACTTGGTCACACTGAAAAAATAAAATAAATAAATACACAACCAAACTTGCTAAATAATAAGCACCACGGGATATTGAGACTTTGAAAGTCATTCTTTTCACTTTAAAAACTGTAGTGGAGTAGCAGGAGTGTAGTTATCCAAGCATAAACTTCAAGCATCTGTTTTTGTTCAGCCACTCACGCTAATGCTAGTCACTGTTCCTCTGCATTTCAATTTGAACCAATGCAAAGACATTTTAGTTAAACTATTGAAATGATCTATTATTAATATTAAAAAGGTCACAGCGAGTGAAACTGTGTTGAAGGCTATTCCTGTTGGTATGTATTTCATGTTTGTTATTTGTCCGTTGTTAGTTCTTTTGTGAGAATTTTTGAGCTCCCGTGGTGAAAAGTGGCTGAATCAATTTATACTGACTAATTGTTTTGATCTGTGACACAAACACATTTGGTGAAGTGCACTACTCTTTTACCTCCCATCAAGCCTATTTCTATTGCAAGGGATTTTTTTTTTGGGTTATGTTTAAAAGACCTTGTGGCAGATTGGAGCACCTTGTAAATAAAAGAAAAGTAAAATAAAAAAAATGAAACAACTAAAATAAAGTTTTATGCTTAATTTAAGTGAATTTATACATATACAAAATCACGAACATCATTTCTACCAAGGGGGCCTGAGTCAACATGCTGTTCAGGCGGCCCAGAAACCATAGCGGCGCCCCTGACTGCAGGTTACATCAAAGATTCAAATCACTTTAAAAAAAAAAATCAAAACATACTGTTCAAACTGATGAAAAAATTAAGCAACAAAGCTGGCTTGAAAGAGCCAAGCACTTATGTCTCTAGCATCATTGTGAAGTGGAGACCATGAAAGCTATATACTCATTAATAAACGTCCCTATCTGTGACGCAAGAGCCAGTGTGCACTCCAAGGTTTTCAGATTACTGCAGGATGCAACGCATCCTTCATATACAAAAGCCACATGGAAATGTATTGACACAATGTGTCTTGCATCTGTGAGCTCAAGGACACCACAAAAAATGACTCAATCAAGTGACACACCGTCAAAGAATCACGGGATTTGGATGCACTTATAAAAGCACTATATTGCACCACACAATATAATCTAAATATGAACTCGGGTATTGCGACAAACTTTTATGAAGTTATAGATACACAATATCTTGACAAAACAAGCCCACTCAATGGTCATCATGGTCATATTATTCTCTCACCTGGGCTGACTTTTGGGTTCCTGTTGCACATGTCTGTGTTGCAGCAGTATGGATGCTTTCCGTTGTTGGAGGGGGCGCACTGGAAAGGCCTGTCCGGTGGGTAAAGTTCATCCTGCTGAATGCACTGACTCTCCTGAGTCACACTCTCCTGAGTCACGATCTGTCCGGCAGACTTTGTAATGACCGCAAAACACAGGCCAGTTGTGTTGCATGTCCGATTTACACATCGCTCACAATAACACAGCAATCCTGATTCAGAAAAGAGAGAGAAAGAGACTATAGGTTAGAACACATTTAGATATTCTGCTTGTTAAATCGCATAGGAAGTGTCCTAAGCGGATTCTCCCATTCAATAACATGATAAAAACACAGACGACGTGAGCTTTTTATTTTCATCATAAAGAATTTAGGGTTAAAATGTACACTGCCATTAAAAAGATTTTTGAAAGAAAAACATACTTTTATTCAGCACATTAAGGACACATTAAATTAATCATTTATAATGTCGCAAAAGTTTTCTCTTTCAAATAAATGCTGTTCTTAAGCATGAGAGCATAAGGGACTTATTTCAAAAACACTGAAAAAAAAGCCTTATCAACCCCAAACATTTGAACGGTAGTGAAGTTGAATTTTTCAAGCATCTTTGGTCACTTCATTCACTCAAACAGTTACACTGTGATAAATTAATCTTTTGAAGTACAGATATTTCCTGTAGTCTTTTAATTAATATTTCAATAACACAGTACACTGTTTGTCATTCCAATAAAACATTACATTTCAATCTGAATACAAGGTCATAAAAAACATTGTGCATAATAAATATAAAAAATAGAAAAATGTGGTTCTAAATAGTTGTCAATAGAGTACACCATGCCAACTGCAGTTTTTCAGTCTGCCATGCCATTGTCAACAAATGATGTTTTTACCATTATCAACTAAGAACACAAAGAGCTAAATCAGTACAGACAAAACAGTTATCCAGAATTGCTAATGGTCCAGCTTACACATCTAAAGTTTGAAAACACATTTAACAGTGTATTAAATGAAGACACTTTGTTCTACTCCATAGGTAGCTCCTTCAACCCTGCTCCTGGGGACCCACTGTCCTGCAGAGTTCAGCTCCAACCCTAATCAAACACATCTGAACCAGCTAATCAAGGTCTTCAGGATCACTTGTAAAGTCACAGGCCATGGGCCTGTACCATGATGGTAGTTGAACAAATTCAGAGTTACAGGATTAGTTTCGAGATGACAAAACCAAACCACCCCAATTAGGAATGCACGATATTGGAGTTTTGCCGATATCCGATATGCCGATATTTTTCAACTTATTTTGGCCGATACCGATATATTTCCTTTTGTTTGGAAACAACACCAAGTCTCTCCTGTGCAGAAATATTTTTTATTTTGGTTAGTTTTTAACAAGAACTTATTTGTTAGAATTAAATAAACAATAATGACGATTTTTTGACAGTACATTGAAGCTTTGAAAATTACTATAAATAAACTATATATATCAGTCGCTGCATTTTTTCCCCCCAGAAAGATGCAGTGTTACCCCTAACATTTTATTTTACAATTTAACATTTGTAGATGGTCTAAAGCAAAGAGTTGTAAAAATTCTGAAAATCTTTTAGAGCTTATGATTTGTTTAAAAAATAAAACATATTACACATTAATGAATAAATCAGTATATATAAAATTATTAAATTTACAAGTGTCATGTTTGTGATTTCTTTTTGTTCATGTAAGCTATAGCTTCTGACCTTTAAATCAAAACATACTCATTATTTTATGACATCAATTACTACTTTATTTATTTAATCAGAAACACAGTCTAAATGTTATTTGTGTAGGCTATTTTACTTTTAATTTTATTAGAAGTTGGCTAACAGTGCCCCCTACAGATTAAACTCCTTACCGAACGGGCGTTAGGACCCGGGTGAGGCTGTCACTGCTGCCGCTGCACTGTTTACACTATCACACACGAACGCGTCATTCTGTACATGCTTTCTCAGTGTAAATGCAGCGATCCAAAACAGTGAATTTAATAATCATTCAGGCAAAACTTTGCTTCAAGAATGAGCCACACTGCTGACATGATCTAATCGCAAGCAGACCCTGAGCACATGTGAGTTAACTTATTCCTCTTATCAGCAAGACATATCGGCATAATTTTTCATATCGGGCCGATGCCAATATTTACATTTAAAGCCATTATCGGCCGATTCTGATATCGGTCCGATAATATTGTGCATTCCTAACTCCAATCCAGCTTGGTTGGTACCATGATGTTGATCATCAACTTTCTTTGTGAACTCAGCCTTTGATCCTGAGTTTGTGGAGTGCATGCACATGAATGTGTGACATCAGTGATGAACAGCCAATCACATGCCTTGCAACACAGAGCAAGTGTGATTCACTTCTTGCAGAGACCCAGCGAGATTCAAAACTCTTTTGCTAAAGGTTAAGAGATTGAAGAATATGAGTAATTTAAACACATTTACACTGAAGAAAGTACTTGTCCATGAAAGATGACAAATAAAAGAAATTATCTTGCTCTATCAGTGCAGTCACAAATGAAACTTGTGAAGTTAGTTTAGGCTATATAGATGATATTATATAGCGATAGAGACTCGAAGGTTACATGTAGTAAATTTGAAAGCATTATCTATTGATTCTACAGTTTATTTACATAATATATGATCTGTATATATTAATATTTATTTAAAATAAATGCTTTAGTTTATAATAATTGTTAAACTAAAATTGCTTGTGTGTAATGAATTATATAAATCATATAATAATTATATAAATCATATATCAAACTCATATAAAATAAAGTAATTATCATTAAGGCCAGACAATTTTGTTGTATTTTATTTATTTATTTATTTTTTTACTATGTAGTGACTAGGGATATGCCGGTATCAAATTTTCATGTTGCGATTAATTGCTAATGCTTTTATCACGGTATACGGTATTATCACGATGTTGAAATTTAGTTCAAAAAAAAAAGTGCTGTCATAATACAGTATAACAGGTTTAATAACTTTTTTCTTATAACAAAAATAACTGAACATTTAAATGCAATAAAGCAATACAGAAAAATGTATAAAGTTAAAAGTTTTACACAGATTAAAGTGCAAAAGAACTATAAAGACCAATAGGTATCACTTTACAATAAGACCTCATTAATGTTAATGCATTAACATTCACAATGAGCAATAGCTACATTTGCTAAAGAAGTTATTAATCTTTGTTTAAAAAATACAAGTCTTAGATCATGTTAGCTCATTAAATAACACAGTTGCAACTTTCGATTTTAACAACGTGTTATTAAATATTGGAATACCTAAGATTAATGAATGTTCAGAAGAATTTTTCATTGGCAGTTTATGTTATGTGTCACTTTGCTCACATCTGATTGGTCCAATTTCCGTTTGAAATGTCGCTAACACTTTATTTTAAGGTGTCCTTGTTACACGTTACATGTACTTATTATTATAATAACAGTGAATTATGTATAATTACATGCAAGTAACCCTAATCCTAACCCTAACCATATAGTAAGTACATGTAGTCAATTAATATAACTCAGTACTTAAATGTATAATTACACTGCAAGGACACTTTAAAATAAAGTGTAACCGAGATTTCTTACCCAGAACGTAACCTGCCCTGGAGCAGTTTAGCTGCGGAGTGTAAGTTACTATGGCAATGAACGCAGCTAAAAGCCAAGTCACTTTCATGGTACCTAAAACCCAGGACTGGTGCAAACTAAACTAAAACTTACCTGGCTAGCCAGCTAATCCGGCTTCATGGTACAGGCCCCATGTGCGCTGAAGCAGGTTGGAAATAAACATTGCAGGATAGTGGGTCCCTAGGAGCAGGGTTGAAGAAGACCTATGTTCTACTCTGTTGGCTACACAATATTGTCAAACTGTTAAAAAGACCTAAACTCAACAACACCAGTTCAAATCATGGAGTATGTCCTGTTAACCTGGTTACACAGGAAGAGGAGGACAGCTCCTAACTCAAAGCTCCTAGACAGGCTGAGCCATCCCAAACGCTGTCTGAAGCCTAGTGCTGCGGAGATGCAAGGACACAAACCTGCAGAGACAGCAGTGGCCAAACCTCAAGCAGCCACAGGCCTCAATTAAACCAGTTTGAGAATTCAGATGCCTACAACTTGGAATTGAAATAAGCTGAGAGATGCAGTAAACCTGTTTTCCTTAGGGGAAAACAACTCAAATTATTTCAAGGAGAATACAGTATTCCAACAAACTAAACCTTTCTGTTTCAAATAAATGCTGTTCTTTCCAGAAATAAATTACAAAAATCCCAGTTTCTTGTCAAACAGCACCTGATTACTGGACTAAGTTATCTTTCGCGTCTGATTGCACTAATACTGTCAAAAACACACAAGGTTTACATATAAACAGTTGGTTAAGTCTAAAGTGAAAGTAAAAAGAGAAAAACGGATGTGTGCCTGTATATTAGATGCGTGCAGCTCTTAAAGCAACAGTACTAAACATGCTGCCGCTTGTCATTAACGGGATAGTTCACCCAAAAATTTAAATTCTGTCATTATTTACTCACTCTCATGTTGTCCCAAACCTGTATTCATTTCTTTCTTGTGCTGAACACAAAAGAAGTGGGTAATCAAACAATTGCTAGTCCCCCAGTCTTTCTAGAAACACACAGCGTCTCCCTGACATGCTGCTTCAACACTAACTGCGGTTACTGAAACCACGCCTTCTTTCTTTGCGTGCACATTTGGGCAGCATTATGCAAATATTTCCACATAGTGAGGTAGATATGTGGGGGCGTGTTAGAACGAGCCGTTTTAGGGGGGCGTGGCAGAGTCTTAACTTTGATAAAGAATATCTCTTTGGTTTTGAGACTTTAGTCTTTGCAACTTCAGGGATCTTATCTATGCACAATCAGCTTGTAACACTCCAAAGAGAAAGGAAAACTTGAAATCGCATCATATGACCCCTTTAATACAGTTGCTTTAATATGAATCAATGTATAATTTATAAGGTGAAGTGTATATAGTGTTTTATTTTTATATTTGTTCATTCAGTTTCTTGAATGCTACTGCTAAATACACCTACTGTACCTGAAAAATAAAGCACTGTTTGTTTTATGTGTATATTATGTGTATTTGTAATGTGTATCTTTGTTCTTATTTTTTAATAACAATGATAAAATAATGACAGATTTTTATCTTCGCCCACTTTGGC